CGTGTTGGCCTGTGTTGGCACGTAGGTCCGCCGTGTTGGCCCGGTCCATGAGCCTAAAACCCTAGGCCCAACACAATCTACACAATCGTGCTGATTTTGGCACGACCCACGGACCGTCGTGCCGGGGCCGCGGGTAGCACGACCCAATTTACACCTCTAGTTTGGAGCAAGGAGAGGCATGGTAACATGGACTGTCTTGCTATATATATACAAGCGGGAACCCGTGTGATGCATGGACTTTGTTAAGCGAAAGTTAAACAATAGAAACACAGGAGTAAATTTTTAATAACCAATCTGATCAAACTCGACCCGATTTAGTCGGTTTTCTAGTATTTTCGCTTGGCTTTGGTTTAACAATTTTCCAATTCGACCAAGTTAGGTCAGTTTCGATTTGGCCATTTCTAAATTGACCAAAACTGAACTAACCTGACCATACATACATACATATATATATATATATATATATACTTATTTAAATTTAATTTTAAGTTTAAATATTCTTAACAAACAAACCAAACCAAAAATAGACCCAAACTGATACGTCCGGAGTTGGCGGGTTTTCACTAATGGTCAATCGTTTCGGGTGACAAACTCCCAACCTAACCAAGTCAATTTGGTTAGCGAAAGAGCCTGCAATCGAAATGGACCAATCCTTGAACACTCCTAATTTTAGCTAAATTAATAGTCTAATCTCTAATAAATAACAATAGTTTAATCTCCAATAATTATTGAAAAATTATAGCAAAAGTACACAACTATTGAAGATAAATTTATAATGAAAATACAATATATATTTAATAAAAATATAATAATTACAAAAATACAATAAATATTAAAAATATATTAATTTAGTCAATAAATAGTGTAATCTCAAATAATAGTTTAATCTCTAATAAATATTAATCAATAAATTATTAAAACTACATAATTACTGAAAATAAATTTATAACAAAAATTCAATAAATACGATAAATCTAATTTCAACAGTTAAATAATAGTTGTTTAATCTCCAATAATTATCAACACTTTGCTGTTAAATAACAAAACAAAAATAGATTTATAAATAATTATTGGAAACATATTTATCAAAAATACAATAAATAATTACTGAAAATAAAATAAATATTAATTTTAGTATATATATAAATATATAAAGAATATACACTATTATTGAAAAATTATTACTAATAAGTATTATTTTTTTGAAAGTTATTTTCTACAATTATTAATTGATATAAGTGAAATTAGTTATTTTCAATATTATTTATTTATTTAAATAATATTGTTATTTAAAATTTTAAAATTTTAATTAATTATTAAATTTAATAATCTATAAAATTATCATTAGTACTATTTTTACATAATTCGTCATTAATTTTGTAAAATATTAAATTATGATTAATATGAATATTATGAAATCTATTATAATTATTTATCTACTTTTAAGATTTTTTAAATTTATTACAAAATTTCATTATATTAACTATTTAAAATTTAGTCATGTTAAATATTTTGTTATTTAAATATTTAAATAATATGTAAAATATTTAAAATTTTCCATTATTTGAGTTTTATTTATTTTAACGTTATTACATAGTATTAAATATTTTGTTATATAATTATTTATCTATTTTTAATGTTTTGTTATTTAAGATATTTAGCTATTGAAATATTTAAATAATGTTTTATTTTTTAATGTTAAATTTTTATTATTTGAATAACATTTAAATTGAATAATTCGTAAAATTATAATTTATATGGTTACTACATAGTTTAGGAATTATAATTTATATTGGTATTATTAGTAATTAATATTAGGAATTAGAAACAATTTAGGGGAAAGTGGTGCCATTTGGCTAAACATTAGTGATGCGGCATGATTCGGGCACTCCTAACTGGCTGCTGACTGGCTTCTTGCTAGCAACGGACGACACCTGAGAAGACAAAGGTGAAGGATTCCCAGGGGATTTGTCCAATGGGAATACTCCGAAGCTTAAGTTAGAATGCTGGGGAAGAAGAAAATAGTATAAAAGGCTAAGAGTGTAGGTCACGCTAGATCACCGTGTCTCAAGATTAGCTCGTGAGCAAGTAATAATTCAAGTTCATATCAAATTTGAGAGAGTGAGTCCTCTCTCCTTCAATTAAAGGGCTTTTATAGGGGCGTTTTTGTCAAATCGGGCATAACCGCCACTAGGCTTCTGTCGCAGCCATTACCTGCCAGGGCTGCACAGGTGATCGTTACAATGTACTACCCGCTTGGATGAGTGACACGTCTTGAAGGGACAGGCACGCCACCATCTGTCGAGAGACGTGGGTGCAGACTGTCAAATGGGCAGTGACTACACCGTCAGTCGAGAGACATGGTGCAGTCTGATGAGTACGGTCTTGTCAGATAGAAGCTTCTTGAGAGCGTCGCGTTGATTAGTCGCAAGCTACCCTGTCGCGCAGCGAGCTACTTTGTAACAAGCTCTTAGGGGTACTTCGAGGTGACCCTCATCAAGGTTAGTCTTTTGGGCAGTTATTCTGCCCAGGTGCTGGAGCGAGCTGGTTTCCCTAGCTCGCGAGCTGAAATAGTCTTGGAGTATTCCCTTCTCAGTAGCTCGGGGGATCTGGAACTCGTGTTATAGCGAGCTCCACCTATAGCGAGCTATGACGTAGTGAGCTGCTTTACAGGCTCGTTACTTAGTTGTGGTCAGGTCATGATACTGAGTTGTTGCTCGTGCTGAGTCAGATCCACGTGTCATCATCTCAGTAGGTCGGGTCAAATCATCCTCCATCAATTAGAAAAGAAGATTCCTCTTTCTTTATGGTTGTTAGAAATAGTTAAGCCTATTGATTTAATTATAATTATATGGAATTAAAAAAATAAAAAAATTCAAAAATTAGAAAATTAGAAAGAGGTTTGAAGCAAGAAGAGGCATGATAACATGGGCCGTCATATATATATATATATATATTTGTATTTGAACTCTTTCCAAACTGAGCCTAATGTACGTGTGTAGTTTGTGGGTAGTGATATTGTGGGTTGGATGTTCACCTTCATTGCTTCATTGACCCTAAGCCAATACACAGAAGCATAGACATGATTACATGAGAGATGAGACTAGGGGTGTTCAAATTCAGATTAAAAACCAAACATCGAACTGAACCAAATTAACGAAGAAGCTAGCTTTGGTCAGTTTTTTTTTTTTCCTAATTGGCTATCAATTTTGGTACAATTTGGCTAAAAGTTTCAATCAAATGGAATTGGAAACCGAACTATTATGATATAGGGAAAAGTATGCAGATTTTTGAATTCCACTCAACACACTAATGTCCGCCTCTGAATTGGTATCAATTCGGAGCTAACACCCACCTCAACTGTACTTTGGGCCTAAAAATTCTGACCCTAGGCTGAACTGTCATTCTTCTTTATTTATATAATATACATATATGTATATAAATATCATTATATTTATATTATATAAATAATTAAATATATAATATTTTATATTAATATCTTAAAGAATATTGGTTGACTAGATTGGCTGAAAGCTGAAAGTTCAATTTTGTATTTGCTTGTCTTTTAGTGGATAAAGAGTGATTTAATAACAAAAGAAAACTAATATACTCTTGTTCATTTTTATGCCACGTAATATGTTTTTCTATGCATGCCTGATAAATAAATGTTTTTATCATTCAGTCCACTTTTGAAATCTTAGCTCCATACGGGTGTTATAAGTGGAGGTGTTTATAAATTTGAATTGTTGTAGGTCTATTCAAATCTAAATTCTAAGGTGGAGTACAATCTAAAAATCCCTAAATAAAAATCGATAGGTGGAGATGGGATTTAATTTCTTTTTCTTCTTTCATGCATCTCATTGAAGCGTTATCTCCTTTTACATTTTTCCTTTTACCTTTCACAATTTAGGGCCCAACCGAATCGAAAACCATACTGAATTTGGTTAAGGTCGATTTGGTTTGATTGATGATTATAGTTAAATCGAATAATTTGTTAGATCCTCAATTCTAATCAAACCAAATCGAACCAGCCAATTGTAAATCCCTACATAACACAATGCAAAACTGTTCTGTTTAACTCGGCACTTCAGTTGTTATTGGTCACTCGGCATTGAGCATGGTTGGCACGCTTGTGTATTGTATTCTCACGAATCTCAGCTAGGTTGGCAACTTGGCACATGGTGCACATCCTGTGGCGGCACATGGCAAGTCCATGTACCGTCCCAATAGCCTCTTGCAATCTTACATAGGAAATATTTTTCCATGAAATAAAGTACATGAATAGGGAAATATTCCCAATACAAGGCTCTAAAGGCTATTCGAACGGGTGTTATCCTCACAAAAATCAAATTCATCCCAGTCATATATTAGAAACGTCTCCCAATAACAAATATAAGAGATATTCCTAATACATGCTGAGATGTACATATGAGACACCTATGGGAGGCGCTGATGTGATCTTCAAACTGCATTCTGTAATCTTGATTCTCTTCTCACCAGCCAACTGATAGTGGCTCAATTGATAGGATATCTGATGAATCAGGTTTTATTTATGCCTAACTTACAACACTTTCAGCTGTACATTAAGAGTATTTGTATATACTTGATATAGATGTTCCCAATTCACGCGATTAGTGTATTATGGGCAGACGTGGGCAGGAGATCCCGAGTCCCTTTTAAACTACGTTCCGTTAATCCCGATCCTCCTCTCTCCTGCTTTTGCTCTTCACACCAACCTTACAGCGTTTCCCTACTTGATGTCGGCAGATCTTCTCAATGCACGACTGTGATGCGAGGCGCGCTTAGTGACTAGCAAATTCGATTTCAATCGTTGGAGCCGAGACTTGGGATCAAAAACTCTCTTCTCACCAGAAGCAATTCGGGTCTACGTTTTGCAATCTACAAGACCACAACCGTGGACAACTGCCGGGCCGACATTTATTCCCGGGTTTGGGTCTCAACGCAGGCCCGGTTAATAAAACCATCATTCGTCATCGACTCGACTTCGCAGACAATCCGTTCGGCCAGGTGAAATCCGAACTTGACATTCCCGACCCGTGATGCAATTGGTCACTGCGCCACGCCTAATTGACTGAAATGACATCTCCATGTCTCCCGCTGCATGTTCCGCGTACTCCTGCCATTAACGAAACTCCCTAGAGGTTTGGATTCTGTAAATTAGGTTAGGGTTTATGCAGTATTCAAGCTAAGAGTTATGGTGACCGATTGTTTCTGAGAAAGAAGGAAAGACAGACAAGTGCAAAGAAAGATGAGATCCTCGTCGGGAGGATTCAGCATCGCTGCCAGTACGCAGACGCTTGATGTCGATAATCGAATTTCTCTTCGTTATTACTATCGGATCGCTGATAATCTCCTCAGACAGGTCTGGTCTTTCTCGATCGCCTTTCTTTTTCTCCATAATTTGAACGTCGCGATGTTGCTTACTTCAGTTGTGGTGTTTTATTCTTGGTACTTCGATTCGATTTTGTTTTCTGCTCTTTTCATTTTGATTTTAATTTTACCTAAGCTATGAATATGGATCTGTTTACATATATAATTATTGAGATTGTTTGTTATATGAGGGAGGCGAATCTAAAATGACATTCAAAGAGCTCATTTATGTTTGGCACAGCTGTGCCGTCAAATTCTGTGGCTGTGTTCCTTGTTCAGGAAATTGAGTCTGTGTATGGCTGAAAACCCTACCTCAATAGTAATATAGGAAGGTGTACCAGTGAATTGTAGGTAAGATGTCTATCAGTTAATCACTCATGATCCAATTAATCGGTGAACTACTTACGGAAGCCTCAGCTGGATGCTTTGTGATGTGTACCAGTGAACTGTAGGTAGGATTCCTAATTAGATGCAAGGGTTTTTATGTGTTAAGCATCACTTGCAGTGATTGGCTACACCTTGGCTTTATCACATTCAAAATCAACACAGGCACCAGATACCTTTTTCTTTGTGGTTGAGGCTTGGCAGATATTTAATGAATGTTAATCTTAATTCAGGGTTATAACAGTGGTCATTTTACCATGATAACTATCCCATGGCACCACTGCTGCTAATTTGGACAACTTTGTGCCTAAAAGAACCGCAATTCTTGGATTACATGCATAATATGAGAAAGCAGAATTTGGAGATAGGAGTAGAAGGGAAACAGTTAGAGACTGAAGATATTGCTTTTTATAAATACAAGGAAAGGTGGATGACATGGTTATGTTTGTTCGACCTTGCTTACCAATTAAATTCAAAGGAAAGTATAATAATGCATTTGAAAGACCAGAGATCAAGAAAGAAGATACCTTAGAATAAGCATGGTGGTGATGAGGATGTTGAGATGGCTTAAGCAGAAAGAGTAGGAGATAGGGGGTTGCACTCCACCTTCTTGGATGCACGAACAGATATCTTTTACTATGCAAAGACCCCTTAAGGTCAAGGTATCCACTTGGTCTTTTTTCTGCTGTTTAGCATGCAAGGACCAGTTCCTGTGCATATGGATGTAATATTTTCTACATGGTTAAGGATTGGATATTTAGAAGAGGGAAAAAAGCCAAAAATTCTTGGGAACCATGAAGGATAAGTGAAAACTATTTTTTCAGGTCCAGTTGGATAAAAGAACTCAATAGAGGAGGAGCTATTGGCAGTATTCAAGGCTTAAAGATGGGGTGGTAACTGGAATACAAGGACATTATTGTGAAAGGTGACTCAAGGACAATACATGGTTTGCTGAAACAAAACTAATATGTTCCATTGAAACACAGAAGTGTGGTATGCAGTTATCTTGGGGAGCCACAGGTATGGCTGGTGAATGATGTAATGTAGAGATGAATTTATTAAAGGGTTAGGCAGGAGAGAAAATGTAAAGAATATGATGATGGGTTGGGTTTGCACTGTATATATTTCGTTTTTCCACATTAACAAAATTGATGGTAAATTAATGATCAGGAAAAAGGTCAACGTTCCTTGGAGTATCATTCCATCTGAAGTTTGTTGGGTGCATTTTGAAAGAAAGAAACAGGTGTATCTTTGATGGTAAAAAGTAAAAAGTATCATTCCATCTGAAGTTTGTGAGTGATATATGCTCTGTTGTTATATTGGTCTCTTGTGCATACTGAATTTGGAGATGTGCGGAGAGAAGATTTAGGGCAACATTTTTGGTCTATGTAGTGGTGATGCTTGATGTGGCTTGGTTTGTTTGGTATTAAGGAACTTATTTATTTATTTTTACTTTAGGTTGGTGAAATCACCTTTTTTGTAATAAAATGAAATATATTATAATAAAAGAGAGAGAAAATACAAGGATGGTGACCGGAAGTCACCTGAGAGAGGAAATTAAAAAAAAAAACCCTGCACCCACCACATCCTGACACTCCAGAACCTCAATAACGCTACTACAACTGAGAAAAAACACACCCTGCATCAGTTGACTTAGAAAATCAGATAACAAACTCCTTACCCTACCATACCATTTAAGACTTTACAACTTTTGAGAAGAGGTGAAGTATGAATTTCATTAAGAAAAACCCTATACAACTAGAGGTGTAAATCAAGCCATGCTGATTTGGGCTGGCCTGGCACGGCCCAACACAATCGTACGGGCCTGTCGAGCCTGGGGTTTCAGGTCCATGGGTCGGCACAACACGACACGACTATGCATACCGTGACGCTTGTGGCCTGCATGTTGGCATGGCCCAACATGCGACACAACCCATATATATATATATATAGGTTTGGGGAGAACTGGCTTGGGTTTTTTGTAAGGTGAATTATGAAGTTTGGGGAGAACTAGATAACTGGAGAGAAGAGGAGATAGATGGAGATAATCAGAGAAGAGGAGATAACCGGAACCATTCTGCCATGAAATATCCCATCAACATATGATGAGGAATGTAATATGTTTTACATTACATTAGCTACTTGAAGTAATGCAATTGAGTGAAAAAAGAGATTAGAGGTTTTACATGCTTGAAAATGTTTTATATGTTTGATTTTATTTTTAAATTCTCATTTGAATATGCTTTACATCTTATGCTTATGTATTTTAATTTCAGATAATAGGTTTTTTAAAACATTTATTTTAAAATTTAAGTTTATATTTTTTTATTAATATTATGTTTAATATTTTTTTTTTATCAAAAAGGCGTGCGCCTCGCCTTGTGCCTTGCGCCTCAGGCGCAAATTGACCTTTGCGCCTTTTTTGTTGCGCTTTTAAAACATTGATCCGGAGCTTGAGTCTGATATTGATCGATTGGCCTTCCCTTGCTCCTTTGGTGCCCAAGTGTGACCAAAGCCATAGGAGATGTGTGTGGAGGCTTTGTATAGACTGATGATTCTCCTTCGGAACTATCTATATGTGTATGGATCAGAATGAAGGTTCAAAGGGGAGAGTCCATCCCAGAAAAAAGGTGGAGATAGCCGCTGGGGAAGTTTTGTTCTTTGTCTATATTTGGCCTGAGATTTTGCCGTCTATTCGTAGATGGAAGCGGGGAGACCCGGAGAATGAAAATTCCCAAAAGGAGAGAAGGGTGGATTCAAAGCTCTCAAAAACTCTTGTTCTAGAAGATGTTGGTGAGAACCTCCTGCCCAAAAATCAGCTTAGTACTGCTCAGCCCTGTTACCGGTCGCCGTTGACCTCTCAGGCGTATGACGGAAGTGAGGAAGTTGATAGAACCAACAATAATCCGAGCCATCCGATCTTGGAAGTTTAGGAGGGTCAGAATGCCCCCTTAAGGATCAATCCCAAGGGAGGCGTTCAAATTTTAAACCTTGGGAAGTTTGGGAGTCGAAGAGTTAAAAACATTGATAAAACAATGTTTGGTGGAGATGCATGTGGCACCCATGGAGGAAACCTCACTGAAGAGTTGCAGGGAGACTTAACAGATGCCAGATCTCAAGCTTCGCTCAGACCAGGAGAATCTATTAGGGGCTCAAAAGTCCACACTGAACCAATCCAATCTGGAAAGGCTTTCTTCACAGGTGGTTAGAAGTGGACAAGGGTCAAAAGCAACTAGTGAACCCAGGGTCCTTGCAGAAATGAACCCTTTAGTCCAATCCAAAGGGGGCCAGCTTGGTCCAGCCAGCCTTTAAAGAAAATTAGGACTGTTGGCAATGAGCATGTTCGTAGATAGGTCACTTTGCCGGTAGATTCGGGAGATCGATCCTGCGCACAGACAACACCTCTTTAGTCTCCTAGTCCTTTTTGTTCGACAGTGTCACCGGCCATGGAGGCTACAAGGTTGCAGGTGCAACACCTTTCTTTGGTGCGGGTGGAAGAGAACCTGATTGAAGCTACTACTATTGCTGTGGTGGGAACTGATGAACAGTTCGAAGACGGGAGAGGATCTTCATCAGTCCAACTCACAGGAAGGAGGGGGGAGAAAATTGGATTTGCGAGAGCCAATTGGAGGTCCAGTTCATTCAAGAAATAGCAAAGGCAAGGTACCCAGTTCGACAATCTAGGGAGGTAAGTCCTCCAATATTTCCGCCTCCTCTTCTTGGGTCTCTTTGAAACTTTTGGGTTTGGGAAAATTCTTAGGAGTTTTGATGAAGGGGATGGAGGATGAAACAATTAAGTTTCTGGAGGGGGTCGAACAAAGAGTCCTTATGGAGAGAGGGAAACTTGCAGCAAAGAAAGGAGGAACAAATTCGAAGAGGAGCAAAGAGATGATGAGACTTACTTGGGGCCTAAATGATAAGGCAAGTAGTAGTGAGGGGATGTCGAGGGGAGCCAAGAAAATCTGATTTTGAGGGTTGCTTCTGATCTGTTTTTTGCAGTATTCTCATGGCTTTAAAAATATTATCTTGGAATGTAAGAGATTTGGGTTCGGGTAGAAGAAGATTGGTAGTGTGTGATTCTCTGAAGAGATCTAATTCGAAGATTGTTTTGCTTCAAGAAACTAAACTGGAATGCTTGGGTGCTGCCATTGTTAGGAGTATTTGGGGTGAGGGGCAGGTTAGATGGAAATCAAAATCTGCAATGGGCAGTGCAGGGGGTTTGTTGAGTCTTTGGGATCCTTCTTTCTGCTGCTTAACCTCTTACCATATTGGAAATTTCTCAATTTCTTTAGTGCTGAAATTCTCAGATGGGAATATCTGCCAAGTAACAAATGTTTTTGGTCCTACAGATCTGAATCCTCGGGATGATTTTTGGGAGGAATTGGTAGAGGTGAGGGGCACCTTGACTTATCCCTGGGTCATTAGAGGTGATTTCGATGTTACCTTGTCTGTTGAAGAAAAGAATACCTGAGGTAGAAGAACAAGAGCGATGTTTCAGTTTGCTGATTTTATTAACAGATTTGAGTTGATGGACATTCCTCTTCAGGGCAGTCGATTTACCTGGACCAATAATTAAGACAATCCCACTCTGGTGAGACTAACTAGATA